AAATATGTAGAATACACGTAATGTATAAAAATATATATATAAAAAGCATATCACAATGTTTAAATTATAAAAAATATTTCTATCTAAATGATATTTTTTAAATTGATATCGTAAATATTTCATCTGGCATTAAAATCTACTATCTAATAATAAGCATCTGCAGTTTGATTAACGAAAAATATACTCTTAACGTGGTTGAACTGGCAAATCTTTTGATATCTGGAGGCTTTCTGTAGTTTGTAAAGTACTGATACGCTGGAATTGTTGGTACAATCGGTGACCAAGTTCTGAAGGTTCCGAAGGTCGCGATGTAACGTCCATCGAATGTCCACAACCGCACCGTGTGGTCTCTACTGCCACTTAAGGTCAAAACAAAAATAATATTACACAACTACAATGCGCGTAATAGTAAATTTAAAATTCATGATTCGACTATCGAATTACCTAATAATAATGTGCGCATCCGGTATTACTTGGACGGACGTAACGGCTGCCAAGTGTCCGCGAACGGATGTGAGCAAGATTGGTAGCGGTTGATCTCTTACAGCCCTTTTTGCTCTACCAACAATTCTCTCCTTCCATAAAAACGGAAATTCTAATCGCAGCAAAGGTATACATGCCTTTGGAGCATTCGATATTAAGTAATTTGCGATGTACCAAACTTTAAAATATCCTACGTTGTGTCCTACATATTAAACGAACTTGGTTTCAATCGTTTAGTTAAAAATCTTACCGAATTTGTGGTATTTAAATATTTATTTAATTTATAAAACATGATTAAGATTATACAAACTTATGAACACCTTTTTTAAATCAGTTTTAAGTTGCAGTAAATGGACAATATTACAAAAGCATAAATTTCTTAAAAAGTAGTAAAGAAAGAATCATCAAGCCTGAAATATAAAAAATCTTTTATTTGTCTTAACTATACCTGTTACGAGGAAACGATTCTCAGGATCTGTTGCCAATGCTAACGCGCAATCTTCCACGGTATGAATGACTGAGAAAGCTTGTAAAAATCCTCCGGCAGGATGATGATTCCATACCTGTATCAAACCCGAGTCGAGGGAAACTAATAATGTACCAACATCTGGTTTGTTCGGCCGGGCAGTTAAGAATATCATAGCTCGAACAGCAACTATTCGTGTGATAGTTAGCGCTGATTCTTGGTGCTTGGAGATTGGCTTGTCTAGACTGTACGCAAGCGCCTATTAACTGTAATTCAGAATTTGGTATGGAACCGTATAAAGATTTGTACAAGAAGCACCTCAAAGTGGATGGCATATGCTGCTTCACGTATTCCTTCGGCTTAGCTGTATCTTTCATCTGGGCTCTCCCGTGATATCTTATGGTGAATCTACAATTTATGATAGTAAAATTACAGAAGTGTAGGTACAAAAGTACAACCATATAACTCTGTTCTGCTTAAATATTTTTTATTTCTGAATGATACCTGGCCGTAGGTTGATTTACTCTATATTTCCGGTATGCTTGGCCAGTCTCTAATCTCCACAGTATTATTTCCCCGTTAAAAGTGGCCGTAGCCAACACCTGAGGATACCACATGCATGAGCAAAGAATATCGTCGGTGTGTATTATGCCCCAATTTTTTTTAAACACATCCGACTCGGAGGTAGCAAATTCCACCACCTGACGATTCCAACTGCTGCATAGAATCCGATTTTCCAGCCAAACTACGCTCGTTATTTCGCTATAAATCGTATACATAAAAACACCTTCTTGTTATAATTAAAATTGAATAAATTATGACGAGAGAAGCAGTATACCAATACCTTTGCATCTCAATGGCCATATTTCGTAAACATGTGCCTGTGTTAAAATTCCATATTTTTAATGTCCCATCGCGAGCACCCGTTACTAACATTTGATCCGTTGGATCGAAACATCCTGCAGTGATCTCAACATCCTGATATTGACCATACAAATATCGGCTGTGGGCATGAGTGACCAAGTACAGTCGAGTTCCAAGCCATGGATCCCAGACTATTATACACGAATCTAATCCAGTAGAGACTACCTAATATTGTAATTCGTATTTGATTTCGATAGAACAGTGCTTATCTTCGAGATAATGTTGCTAAAATAAAGAGGTACCACTCGGAATAGATTATTGTACAGGACGCAGCTGACGGGTTTCGCGTGAGTAAAACCGTCGGATGTTTCCTCGTTGACCACAGGATCGCAAACGATGACCGCGATCATTGCACTAGCGATGATCATTTTGCGGTTTAACGTATTATATACCACAGTTATCGTTATATTCTCACCTAATTCACTAGGGAGGCCATTGTACGTCTAGGTAAAGCGAAATTACAATCAAATCACAAATTTTAACTATAAATTTCCATTCCTTAAAATGGAATATTTTCGGAAGACATTATCAGAGAGATATTGTAAAAAGTTTAATGCGCACGTACAGAAAGTCTGAAATATTCGTATCTTTCCAGTTAATCATGTTATAATATAAATAATTATTGTTGTTATATGAAATTGTTGCATTCAAGTTTATTTTGTATTTATTATTAGCTGTTATTAAAGAAATAAATTGTTGATATGAAGAGAGTACGAATACTTTTGCGATTTTCTGTAAGTATGAAAATGATCATCATCAAAACCTGGATACAAGACTGAGCTAACACATCCCACACTTTGATACATCTATCTTTGGAAAGAGAGTAGACACGTTTACCAGCATTTTGCATAACTATGGCGCAAATAGTTGCGCGATGACCTTGAAAGATGCTGTTCGCTCGTCGAGGGACGAAGGGATTCCAAACGCGGACTATGCAATCCGGTCCACCAGTTACCAACAATTGAGCCTCTAAGCAATTTACATATATCTCTTTTAATGTAAAATTTTTTAATGAAAAACCTATGGTTTTGGAAAAGATACCTTCGCAGAATGTGAAACAAGATATACCCATGTTGACTTTAAATCTGTATTGCGTTCTTGCTCCAGTTAGATCACTGAACAATAATGAGCAAGCTGTGCATCTGCTGCTAGACATGAACGCTCTTACACTTCCATAATAGGCAACCTGTTTCACCCAGTCTGAATGGACGTTCTTGAATTCTAAGACTTTCAATCCTTTCAGTTCACCCTGTGTTCATCCAAGAAGTAAAATTTTGATCAAAAGAATATTGAATGGAAAAACAAACATTTGATTATTAGATAAAATTAAAAATGAGTTTGCCTTAAGAACAGAATCGTAACGAATGAACAGAGTATCACGTTGCGGTTCCTGTTTAAACGGTCCTCTTTCTGTAGGATTAAAAAACATAATTTTTACAGAACCGCTCATGTCTCCAAGCACGATGTACGAGTCTTCTTTAATATTTTTACTGAAGTAATAATCCATGCAGATGACTGCGTTCTCCAAGCCTGATATCTGACGAACAAATTTTTCTATTTTATTTTATTTCACTTTTTATTTATTAGAATCAGGTTTTGAGCCGATTCAGTAAATAAAATTGAGTAATAAAACAGACCATTATTCGGAGGTCAAATTTCTTTGCTACCGTATCATAGAATCGTAAATCATATTCAGTAGAACTAGTACAAACTATTTGAATGTCGGGCATGACTATTACATCGGTGATCAAAGTTTGCTGAACTTTCAAGCAAGCTGTAAAGGATACTTAATTAGATAATAAGTGGAAGAATGTGAAAAATTCTTAGATCGAAGTACTGACGATTTGTAGACTGCGCGCTACGTTCATATTCCAAATCCAGAGACCAGTAATTTATGTTTCCTTCTTTAGTTATTGTTAAATAAGATCCTCTATGAAAGGTCGTGCTTCTGTCCTAAGGATATGTACATACGTT